ACAACTTACCATGAAAATGAAGATCCAAGTAGAACAAGGAAACATTAAAACTAAGAAGAAACTGACAAGAAAGAGCACAAAAACATGAACTCAGTACAAAAAGGCATGCAGAACAAAGGAACAAACAGCACCACAAAAAATTATCATAATGACAGCAATTAATTCATACAGATCGATGATGACACTGAATGTCAATGGATTAAATGTACCATTGAAGAGACCGAGAGTGGCAAAATGGATAAGTAAACAAGACCCTTCAACATGTTGCCTGCAAGAGACACACCTTACACACAAAGACAAAAACAGACTGAAAGCTAAAGGATGGAAAAATATATACCAAGCTAATTATAATAAAAAACAAGCAGGAGTGGCAATAGTAATCTCTGATAAAATAAACTTTAAGGCAAAAACCAGTATAGGAGATACAGACATTATCTGATGATTAAAGGGTCAGTTGAGCAAGATGGCATAACCATAATAAATATTTACGCTCCCAGTGAAAGACCACCAAGATATATAAAGCAAACCCTACTAGAATTGAAGAAAGAAATAGATAAATCTACAATTATAGTGGGAAATTTTAATATGCCACTTTTGAAAAGGGACAGAAAATCCAGAAAGAAACTTGACAAAGATACAGAGGAGCTAAACAGCACAACCAACCAACTTGACCTCATAGATGTGTACAGAGCATTCAACCCAACAACAGCACAATACACATTCTTTTCCAGTGCACCTGGAACATCCTCCAGAATTGACCATGTGTTAGGTCACAAAGCAAGCCTCCATAAATTGCAAACATCAAAAATACTACAAAGCATCTTTTCAGACCACAATGCTATAAAACTAGAAATCAACAATAAGAACACCAAGGAAATAAAGTCAAATACATAGAAACTGAACAACACCCTGCTCAAAAGTGGCTGGGTTATAGAAGAAATTCAACGTGAATTCACAGAGTTCCTAGAAACAAATGAGAATGTAAACACAACATACCAAAATCTTTGGGACACGGTGAAAGCGGTGCTGAGAGGATACTTTATTGCAATAAATGCACACATCCAAAAAGAA